GAACTCACAGCCTTTCACAGTGAATTGGGACTGTATCAATTTAAAGTGATGCCCTTTGGGCTATGTAATGCCCCCGCCACCTTTCAGAGCATGATAAATGACATATTTGGAGATATGCTGGGTGAACGAGTCGTCACTTATATGGACGATATCCTGATTTACTGGGAGACAATGTAAGAACATGTCTTACTAGTAAGGCGAGTCATGGACAGGGTAAGGAGGCATCGACTATGTGTAAACATAAACAAGTGGTTCTTCCACAAGAGTCAGATTGAGTTCCTAGATTATCAGATATCCGAGAAGGGAATATCCATGACCACCAAGAAGGTGGATTCTATCCTAGAATGGAAACCACCGACTAGCATCATCGGAGTCCAAAGTTTTATGTGCTTCGCCAATTTCTATAGAAGGTTCATAGAAGGGTTTAGTAAGATAGCGAAACCTTTGACGGACCTCACTAAGAAGGATATCAAATTTGATTGGACCGCTGCTTGTGATAAGGCATTCTATGAATTAAAGAAAGCCTTTACCACAGGACCAATCCTAGTACACTTTGATCCTGCCCACCAGACTAAGCTGCCGCAGACGTAAGTGACTTTGCATTAGGTGTAGTACTTTCTCAGTTCTGTGAAGATGAGAAGTGGCACCCAGTGGCCTTTTATAGTAGGAAGTTCAACCCAGCTGATATGAATTCTGATGTACATGACAAGGAAATGACTCCCATCATGGCCGCTTTCAAGAAATGAGAACATTTGCTTAGTTCGGTAGAGGGCGAGATCTCGGTTTACACCGATCACAAGAATTTGGAGTACTTCAATAGTACAAAGACCCTCAACCGCGGCCAACATCGCTGGGCAGAATTCCTGCAGCTGTTCAATTTCATGGTAGTTTACCGTGAAGGAAGGCTGAATACAAAGGCAGATGCACTGTCAAGGCGTGGAGACCACCGCCCTGAAGGGGGGGGTAATTCTCTGTCAGAAACACTAATACCATTTTTGCGCCCCGGATAATGGATTGTGGGACAAGAGCGAGACCTCTTACATGCTCATTCATTGGCAGCCTGTGAAGGCTATCAGTGGCAATCGATGTTTTTGGACGCGTTACGTACTGCTGCGAAACAGGATCCCATCTATATGAGGGACTTAAAGGATGGGTTAGCGGGGGAGAAAGATGTCGACCGTAACTTGACAATAGAGAGAGCTACGCTTCTATACAAGAATCTTACTATAGAGAAAGATCTTCTCCTATACAAGAATAGGTGGTATATCCCGGGCTCACAAGAGTTGAAGGATAGGATCATGGAAGCCGAACATGACTCCTGTATTGCGGGACACTTTGGGACATACAAGACAGTCAGCAGGATTAGGGCCAATTTTATTTGGCCTAACATGGATGAGAGCATTATAGACTACGTTCGCACATACGATGTCTGTCAACGGAACAAATCTGTTAAGCATAAGCAGGTTAGCTTGTTGGAACCCATTGGAGTGCCGTTGAGGCTGTGGAAGGACATCTCAATGGACTTCATAGTACCACTACCGGAATCAGAAAGGTATACCAAAATTTGGTTACTCGTGGATAGATTCTCGAAGATGGCACAGTTTATACCTTTGACCACAAAAGTTCCAATAAAGGATGTGGCTGTAATGTTTCTGAAGCAAATTTGACAGCTCTATGGGCTCCCAGAATCTATTATCTCTGGCAGAGATAGCCGATTTACATCCAAGCTTTGGATAAGCCTGATGCAACAGTTGAAACTGAAACTACGGTTATCGATCTGTTTGTACCCTGTGACTGATGGGTAGACTGAGAGGGTGAACCAGACCTTGGAACAACACTTCAGAAATTATTCTTCCTATCAGCAAGATGATTGGGCATCGCTACTACCTTTAGCGGAATATGCATACAATACATCTACCTCCGAGTCAACCAAGTTATCTCCGTTTGAGATCAACAATGGCTTTAACGCAGGGACCAACTTGTAGGGTACAGTCTCGGAGCAACAAGGTATTGAAACCAGTAGTGAGCTAATGGTAAAGAATTGAGAAGGTGTCTGGCAAGAAGTCCGAGATACACTTAAGCGAGATCAAGACAGAGAACAGAAGTGGCATGACCAGAAACGGTTACCATAGCCAGAATATGTTACGATGGAAGACGTCACGAATGGAAGGTCAAAGAAGGCTGATGGCGTGATGCTAAATCGAAAGAACATCCGTACTAAGCGACGTATGGAGAAGCTGGACCACCGTATATTTGGACCCTTTGTGGTCAAGCATAAAGTCGGGAACCGAGCTTCTAAACTCCAATTGCCTGCTCGTTGGTCAGTCCATCCTGTATTCAATATCGGACACTTAAAATGCTATCGTGAGGACCCAAACTTGAATGGTAACAGGAATAAGGAAGTCCCAGTGGACGAGATAGTAGACAATGAGCCCAGCTATATTATTGAGGCAGTCGTAGAGACTCGATGGTACAGAAATATGAAAGCAAAATTTCCAAATTGCTTCATACAGTACCTAGTTTCATGGGAACGCTATGGCGCAGAGGAGAACTCTTAGGAGCCATATAAGATACTAGAAGGCACTGGCTTAAAAGGCACGACGGATTTCCACCATTGGTATCGCCATAAACTCAGAGACCAAAGGGTTGCAGGTGAACCGAATTGGGTAAATAAAAGATGACGTTGGCGGACCGGGTCAGTACTTGGAGAAGAGGGGAGTTCTGTAACCACCCTACATTATGGAGCTATGGCAACCTAAGTCTACACCCATACGTCATACCAAGAGTTAACACGGTAGACTAGGCGGGCATGCGGGCGCATGTCCCAGGGACATCTGATGATCTGGATATGCTAAGGCACAAAAGGTACTTAAGGAATAACATGGGCGGGGGTCTTATTACCCATGGCGTAGTTATTACCCAAAATAATATTTTATACAGAATTTTAATTACACTAGCAAAAATCACCACAACTTGTATAGTATAAAACATGTCAGGTTTTAATTCAATAGGCAGGATCATTGGGCACTTGTAGATACACTTGAAAAGAGCAGATCAAATTTAAGATATTTTGGAGTAAGAAAACACCTTGAAACTATACATGACCTTGTTTTGAGTGAGGTTGATTATGACCAGATCTTCTTAATAGCCGTATGGTTTCTGGTGCTGGTCCTGAAGGTACAGAAGATTGACTAACATGAGAGGCAGTAGGAGAAATTTGAGACTGAGAGGGGTTGCTTAAAACATCAGAGCATGCAGGGGAAGAGTTGCTTCCATCAGTCTCAGATTCCAGATTTTCAGAGTCGTTGTCCGAGTCAGAATCTAATACCACCATGGGCAAATCCTCATCAGACTCCATTCCACTAGAGGCTTCTGCCACTTGCTGTGACTTTCTTTTTCCAGCAACCCCCTTGATTGATGTTATTTTGTTGTTCTTGTCAAGTGGATCTACTACACCATGCCTTGCCTCTATCAAATCTTTCTGTGAGATATACCATGCATGAGAAAGGATCTTTCTGCTCTTTTGAGCGGGCTTATCACGTGCCATATACTGTTGAAGCTCTTCTCTCGAGATTACCACATCTGACTCTGCTTTCGTGAGAGCATTTTGTAGGTCTTGTATTTGAGTAATTGTATCCTCAAGATTTGAGGGAAGGGTAGAGCGAATCTTTTGTGCCTGACTCAAAGAAGGGCACTGGGGTAAGGTTTGGAGGTTGTATGGAGTATCAAGTAATCCTGTTTGAGTGTTGTGGAGGCTTGCGGTAACTTTGGGGTCCATAAGAACTTGGATTTTATTGAGAGAATAGATGCCACAGGCTGCCCAAGCAGAACAAATAGTTGAACCAGTGAATGCTTTCTTTCTGGCCTTTTCACAAAGAGGAATGAAATCACCCTTTAGCAAGGAGGTATGTAGTGGCTGAACTGCAGTCCAGGTATCAACTTCCTGACCACAGTAGGGAGCCAAGGGTCCGAATATGTTACACATATAAACGTATAGACCTTCCCCGCGCACAGACCTCCTAAAAACCGCGAAGATTTCATAGCCAACACCCCCCTCCGGCCCCGCCGTTGGCCCTGCACGCAGTAATAGTGTCAGCGGAATTTGGTGTCCCGACAGTATAAACCGGTGAAAACGAAGCATGCTTCATAAAACCGTATATGTCGTCGCCGTCCATCCGACTGGAAACTGTTCGCAGGATATATAAGAGGGGACCTCAGGCCATGTCTGAAAAGTAGAATGGAGTCAATCGGACAGGTAGCCATGGAGCTACGAGCTAGGCGAGGTTGACCACCTCGGACATAGACAGAAAGTGTTGGGACAATATCGCCAACAGTCCAATGAGTTATCGGGACGTGCCTGTAAGGACGAGGCACGGAGCCCAGTCTAGTGCTCGCACAGTGTAGAGCCAACCGGAGGCCTATCTGTGGATGAGGAACTTTCCCACGACGTTGACTAGTCCGATCATAGCGGAAAGTCCTCAAAGTCAATGCAGTCAAGTTGTGAAGACAACGAGGCATTTGATAAGACTCTCGACTGAGCTGATCACTCCAGTCAAAGTAACGAGGATGGTCAGTTGGCTCGAGGTGAAACCACTCGCTCATACCTAAACCTCCAAGATGAAGGAATCATACCTTTTCGCCGTAGAGGTTTCGAACGCCCTCACGGAAACACGACAACGCATGCAGACCGTAGTCCGAGCAAGACGCAAAGTTTGTCAGGATCAAACGGGATCCCCGTACGATAGTAGGGGATAGAAATTAGGAACGGTACATTGTTTGGTGATAGATAGATGTAGCCCGCAACCACCCAGATGCGGAATATAAATATCGAGGTGCCTTCTTAGCTTTCAGAATCATCAGCGAACAGAGAAGAGATCTTATCAATATATTCATTATACTTTGATACATACTTTTGTTACAAGCTTTCTTGACTACTCTCCAAGAAACCTTATTGGCCCCGGTTACAATTCGTTTGACTTAGAATTGGCTGCCGCCTAACAGAATACACCAACATCCAGAGGTTGTAAAATATGAGTGGCATGAGATGGAAAGAAGAATAAGATAATATTCTTTGCTAAGCAGAATTCAAGAAACTCATAGGTAACATGAGATGAGTGGTTATCACAGAGTAGAAGGTATTTGTTTCCAGGTTTAGATGGAGGATGTAATGTGTTCGCACCGAGGTACTAATCACGCTTCCGGGTACAATAGGAGTAGCACACAAGTTGATCTACAACCTATGGGCATACTGTACTAAGGGAGGCTCCAAGAGAAAGATATAAAGAATAGGGACTTGAAGAGGTAACCGTTCAACCAAGTATATTAGAAATACTCTGCCTGTCGAAGTGTGCTGTTTCTTTAAGGGAATCAGCAGTCTTTAAATACAAGATTTCGTCCATGTCCTGCATGGGCGAGTTCCCATATGTTCCTTACTGAAAACCACAAGTAAAACAAACTGAGTATCAAAGAATACTCGAAACCACAAATAAAACAAACTGAGTATCAAAGGATACTCGAAACCACAAGTAAAACAAACTAAGTATCAAAGGATACTTGAAACTACAAATAAAACAAACTGAGTATCAAAGGATATTCGAAACCACAAATAAAACAAACTGAGTATCAAAGGATACTCTAAACCACAAATAAAACAAAACATAAAACAAATCCTTGAACCGAACAGACTAAACTCCAGTTCCGGTTACAATCCTTGAACCGAACGGACTAAACTCCACTTCTGGTTACAGAGGAGTGAAGATATCGAAGTGGCTTTTCAGCTATTTTAAGCCAATGTAATCCTGAGTCCAGCCATTATCTGTGAAGCTAAACACAGTTCTGCTATCAATTCCTGATTTGTTATGCCATCCAGCATAGTGGGCTTTGCCGGCATAGATGTAAAATGCAGGGAGAACTTTTCCAAGAGCTGAGACTGCCTCAATCAACGTAACCCACTCTCGGTTCCCCTGCTGCATTCGTTTCCCCAGAGTTTTCATCCGAACTCGGGATTTAACTAGTTCATTGGCTCCTCCTCCTTTTCCCATTTGAAATCCCTTCTCATCAAAGTTCCAGAAGACCTCAGGATCAATTTTGTCGCTGGCCAGGCATTCAGTAAGGTGCTTAAAGAAATCTTCTGATTTTTCAGGATTCTGAACTAGCATGCGCTCATGGTCCATGGCCTTCGATACAATAGTTGCTACCTCCTTATGCCTGGCCAAAAACCATGTGACGTAATGATCTCCGACGGTCTTAATTGTCATATTGCCTTCATGGTGACAATTATAGAGATTTAAGACTGTTCAAACAAGCTCTTTATGCTTGGGAGGAAAGCCCAATGCATCTCACTTTTCAACCGACTCTAAAACACTGATCTCTTCTTCAGGTGCAAGTATCATTTAGTCCACATGAGCTTTGCATGCAGGTTTGGTCTTGCTATTCAGTCGGTTGGACAAGGTTTTCTGATTTACCTCGTAGTGGACCGCAACATGACTTAATTTTGCTTCAGGGTTTGATTTGACATCCGCAATTGCCTTCTGGAGCTTCTGCTCATGCTCGTCATATCTTTTTCGCTTTTTGTCGATTTGTTTTGGCATTGTTTTGTGAACGTTTTGGTGTGGAGTTGGTTGCATGCACAGGAAATTCTACAGGTAATAACTACGCCATGGGTAATAAGACCACCGCCCATGTTAGGTGTGCCTAAGTAGTGGAAGTAAAAGTGACTAGGTCCGCTCCGGCCCAAGGTTAGGACGGAAGGCCAGGTAAGTTTACCCCCTCTAGGAGAGTCACGTTACCCTACTATTGAGACCAGTTTCATGTTACTATGGACATACTTACCCTACCTTTGGGACACTATTAGCCTACGTTCTGTCGCAAAGATTCTTGGAGGAATTTGGGGAAATGTTAGGATCGTTTGTTACGCAATAACGATCGACGGGCACTTGGTTGCACGTTGATCGGAATACTACGGGAGGAGCTATAGTGCTCTGAACAGGTTGTAACTTGGTAAAATTATTTCTAACAGGTACCTGTGGCCCCAGGGTTTGCCCCGGGCGTCATGGGCCAAAATGGGTGGAGTTGCCATCTTACTAGTTACATGGAGTTCATGAAGAGATGTCCATAACACTGTATACGTCGCTGCGGTCCGTCCGACCGGAGGCTACTCGCAGGATATATAAGGGGGTGAAGGTGAGAAGGTCAGGTACCTTCTCCAAATTGAACGGAGAAAAACGGACAAAAACTGACGGAGTTAGCGTGAGCTATCCGGAAGGGTCCCCAGAGTAGTCCCGCGTAGTACCAGAGACATCTGGGAAGGATTTACACCAATCAAGTCTATACATGCCCCTTTGCCGTAGGCTCTTTGGAGGTTGTTTGGAGACTCTAATAGCATGATACTTATTATCCTGAGTGGTGTGCCAGGGGTAAGAGATAATGGGCAGCGCCCATGGGTCCCGCCACTGACACAGCTCGACGTGGGAGCGCTGTAGACCCTCTAAGTTTGTAGTCAAGAAAGATAGAGCTTAGCCGGGAGACAGCTGATGTCTACGGGAGCTTGCATAGGTCATAGCATATGGGAAGAGAGTCATTTAGTGAGCTTTCCTAGGCGTCTCGACAGTTAGCCACTAACGAGACACCGATGTGCAGAGGTTTTTACTCTGGCAGGTATATTGGTAAACACCTCGCAGGAACTGATGTGCATACAGGAGAATTCTGCTGGACTGCGCTGACACCTTAGCCATTTTGGAGACACGGTAATGGTGCCGGGGCAACCCTTACGGAGAAGGGCATACTCCGGATGGTCGGGGTAACCTGATGGGGGAGTTTTTGGTATAACTCTGACTACTTGAAGATTACACGAGGACTCTCCTACCCTGACAGAATCAATATCCTCTCGACAGACTTTAATTGAGATAAGCCTGACCTTAACCATATTAAGTTTTACGATTACAAGACCTGTGTTGGAGAGATTTGAAGTTTGGCCCATTCGCATCCTTAGAAACCATTTACCTAAGGGAGCCCCCGTTACAAGGAATAGGCATACAACCTAACTGAGAGGTAAAAGGTACCGGGTTCAAGGGTTCAGGGTCAGGGTTCACTCCTTCCAGAGGACGCAGCATAGAAGAGAGATATAATTCCTAGGTACAGGTGTCCAAAGGAGATTACCAGATTGTGTAAAGAACATAAAATATAAGGGGGCACACCTCCTTATATAGAAGGCAATCCTCCCTGATCACTAATACAAAAGAAAACCCTTGGAGTCTCGTGCAGCTCCAATGTCTCCATCATGTTCTGTCAAGTTCCATCGCACAGCAACGGGTACCAATAAATGTACAAAAGAAACCCCTTGCATAGCAACCAAGAAAACCCAACTAATAAACACAACCAGCGCCCGCTGCATGTTCGGTCTCCATGTACAGGTGGCCATGACACTAGCTGCCCTCTCTGACGCCGAAGTCCCCTGAGGCGAGCTAGTCACGTAATTGGCCTAGCTTATGGGGGTAACATTCATGAAACAGGTTTAGGGCCTGGAGTCCATCGACCGAGTCGGCCGGTTTCCAGGTGGCCTCAGCATACCTTTTCCAATGTATGAGGTATCGTAGCTGGTTTCAGACGACCTTGGCATCCAGTACCTCCTCTACTTGCCACTCAGGTTCTCTTTCTTCCTCCACAGACGGTGGTGCAGTTTCTTGTCCCAGGAGGGGATTGTGGGCGGCAAGGTCAAGGAGGATAATGTAGACTATGTTATGGATTTTCATCGTAGGAGGAAGGTCCAACTAGTAGGCATGGGTCCCGATCTGGACGAGGACAGGGTAAGGACTGAAATGTTGGTTGTCTAGTTTCCGGGAAGGCCATTTGGTGCGAATATTCCTTGCGTTCAGCCAGACATAGTCTCCAACCTGGAAGTGAGTGGCTGGAAGCCTCCCTTCGTCGCCATATTCCTGTTGTTGGTCTTGGGCGAAGGCAATCTAGGCTCTCAGGTGATTGTGGATATATTTGATGTGGGCCATGAACATGCTGGACCTGGGTTCATCGGGGGCTTCGTCAGGGGTATCTAAGAAGTCCATATGGGGGTTATAGCCATGGTTAGCGAAGAAGGATAACAAACCGGTAAACTCAGAGGCATCGTTGTTGGCTGTGAACTCTGCCATGGGCAGCCAGTGGGACCAGTTGTCTTGTTGGTAATTGACGAAACCCCTAAGGTACTGTTCCATGATGGCATTGATGAGGTCCATCTGGCTCTCCGTTTGGAGGTTGAAGGCGGTAGAAATTTTTCGTTTGACTTGTAGTCTCTTATATATGGTTTCCCAAAAGTGAGCAGTGAAGTGTGTACCCCAGTCAGAGGTGATTGTCTTGGGGATGCCGCGGAGTTTCCAGATAGAGCAAAGATACAGGTTGGCAAGGGTAGGAGTGTTAATAGTAGTAGGACAGGCAATTAGGTAGCGCATTTTGGACATCCAATTCACCACCACCAAGATAGCATCATTTCCCTAGCTCCAGGGCTGGCCCTTAACAAAGTCTATGGAGATATGTTCCCAAGGGCGGTCCTGTATCGGTAGTGGGTGCAGGATGCCAAACACGGCGTGCCGGGAGGTACGACTCTGTTGACAGACATGGCAGTTGGCCACGAAGCATCCGATGTCCTGTCTCATACCAGGCCAGCCATAACGTTAGGATATAAGTTCGTGGGTCTTGGCACATCCTGGGTGTCTGGCTGAAGGCCGGTCATGGCACGCCTGTATCAGCCACAGGCATAGCTCATCATGTCGAGAGATGTAAATCCAATCACGGTAGAGGAGCTCATCCCCCTTATGTCTGCATTCGTTTACTGATAGGAGGCGGGAATGTTGATCACCCTTGTCCAGGGGATGGAGGACCTTGGTTGCAATAGTATCCGCTTCATAGGCCTCCTTCCAAAGTTCTTCAATAGGGGATGCTCCTGTAGGGAGCGTAATGTTGGGCAACAAACTGAGAGGCTGAGACTTCAACACTACTTGGGTTCGGTGGCTCTTCCGTTCCTCCACCTCCTCTGGCGTCCTGTTTTTCATCCAAGTTAGAGCATCAGCCTTGCCGTTTAGCTTTCCAGGCTGGTACTTGATCTGGTAATTGAACTGGGACAGGAATTCGGACCAACGGGCCTGTTGATTGTTCAATAGTCTCTTGGTCATGAAGTGCTTGAGGTTGAGGTGGTCTGCCAGGATTGTTACCTGTCTTCTGAGGAGGTAATATCGCTATTCTTCAAAGGCTCTAACTACGGCCATGAGCTCCTTATCATAGATGTGATAGTTGCATTGAGCTGGGCTATGTTTGCGAGAGTAGAATGCGACAGAGTAGAGAGTTCTATGGTTGTCCTTTTACGACATGACACTAGTAGTGACGAAATCGGAGGGATTGGTTTTGATAATCACTTCCTTATAGAAGTTGAAGTGGGCTAGGACTGGGGCAGTAGTAAAGGCCTCTTTTAACGATTCGAATGCCTTCGGACATTTGGGGGTCTACACGAAAGGATGGTTCCTTCTGGTGAGGGCGGTGAGGGGATGAGCCAGACACAAGAAGCTACACATGAACGGTCGGTAGAAGTTGCTAAATTCTGAGAAGGCATGGAATTCGTGTACCCAGTCAGGTATGCGCCAAATAGGGACAGTTTCCACCTTGGTGTTGTCCATCCAGATACCCTCTGCGCTGATGATGAAGCCCAGGTATTCCACGTGGATGACATGGAACTCGCATTTTTGTGGCTTGGGTTCGAGATAGGCCACTTGTAAGACTTTCAGTACGAAGCGTACATGTTCGACATATTCCTGAGATGTCTTGCTGGATACCAGGATGTCCTCGAGGTACGCTGTGGAGAACCTGTCGAGTCCCTGATATAAGACCTTGTTGATGAAAGCTTGGAAGGTAGCGGGGGCGTTAGTGAGGCCGAAGGGCATTACATTGGAGTCGAGGAGGCCATTGTGGGTGCCGAAGGTGGTCTTCCAGGGATGTTTCTTTTTCACGAGGGCTTGCTTGTAGGCCCCTCGGATGTCCTGTTGGGAATAGATTTTGGTGTTGGCAATATTCATAAAGGTTTCAGTTAACAGGGGGAGGGGACTGCGGTCCTTTATAGTACCTTCATTTACTTCCCGGTAATTGACGCAAAGCCTCAGGGTACCATCCTTCTTCTTGACAAACAGTACTAGCACGGCCACAGAGGAGGTGGAAGGACTGATAAAGCCTTTTTCCAGATTCTCGTTAATTTATCCTTTCAGGG